TTCATACTTTTAGATAAACTTCTATGGGTAATTGTTTTTCATTAGACTTTTAATAATGATGAGAAAGCCTCGTTGCAGTTTATCAACCGAACATATCCTTCTGGTTCTATAAAATAGTGTTTTGACTAATGTTCATTTAAAAATGATTGGACGAAAGCTGTCAAAATTTAGGTGTAGTCCATCCCATGTACATGGGATATGACACCGTTTTCGGAATTGTGTACTATGAAATATAGTTATACAAAAGCTAAGAATGAACTAGGAGTTGCAGAAACATCCCAACAAATAAACTTTGAGGGTTCAAGTATAATTGTTCAAAATGATGTGCAGTGTACAACATATATGGGTCATCGAATAAAGAAAAATAGCAGGCATCTTTTAGTAGAAACTGTTGGACACATACGAACACATACTTAGTAGTGGATAAAATAAGCAAAACATAGTAAGTGGTCAGTGATACAGAAGATGAGTATCCTTCTAGACTATCAATGAAGATCAGTTAGTAAACTACCCAACTGAAGTTATGAATTCATTTGGTGTAATCAGTTGTAAATAAGTAGATAACTATGTTATCACAATGTCACTCAATGATCGAAAGCATGTAACCGTTTCGATCCTAACAGCTGCATTCATGTAATAGCTATATTTGTGAAGAAAACGTTCTGATAAGTCCTATCCTACCTTGTTCTCACTTACCCCATGTCATGTTACTTTGTATCTCTCTCATACATCTTTAGTTTCACACTACATGATATTATTGAGTAGCATAACTCAGTTACTTCATCTTCAACTTGACTGTCAATTCTGTCTAATCATAACTTGTTCTTCAATTAGCATCTCAAGATATTTTTTTCCTTCCCACTTCATTTTAATGGTGGGACCCTTCTGGTTACCTCCTGATGTTTTTTGTCACCTTAAAAATTTTTTTATCTCATGCGTCTACCTTCTTATGGGAACATACGCGCCTTCTTCATACTCCTCTTTTGGTTATCTTTGGACATAGCTTTGCTGTTGTACGCTAAACGTACTCTCCGTAAGATGCTTTGACAGCGATAAAGCCACAGATACCTCACAATCCGAAGTTTGTATCTTATTAGTCACTACTTTTGTTCATAGAAGATCGTACTTCAGGCGAGTCCTGTGTTTTGAATTTCACGCGCAACTCGAGTATTTGGTTTATTGTTGAAGAATCTCTTTAGTTCTAAATTTCTTCTAAAGAAACTCACTAGTTCCAACCCTTTTTCTTACATCATCGGTAATTAAATAGCATGTAATTAATTAGAATACCAAATAACCATTATAGTTTCTTCATTTGACCCATTAATTCACGCTAGAAAGATTTAAAAACGTCCAAGAAAGCATTCTATATTGTCTGGAATTTTAGTTATGGGAAATAAAAAGGTTTTACCAAACAAATATCTTGACTTATGTCAACGGTAAGCATAAACTATCAGTTATCTCATTTACTGACTAAAGTGAAAAATAGACTACAGAAGAATGTGGCTCATTATTTGAATATAAGCTATGTAAAATGAGGCTATAATTTACTTTGAATTCTTGTATTATTTCATTTATAAAGCAGAAAATTAACGCTTTTTTGGAAAATTACAAATGAACTGCATACATTTCTTCAAGGCCGAAAACACACACGTGATCTAATTAAGCACTGAAACATATAATGTGATTTTAGAACTGCTAATCAAAACAATATGAAATAGCAAATAATACCGAAAATTAGAAGTATCTATATTTTATTGATTCAAACTGTTAATAGAAAACGAGACTCTTGTATTTGGGAAAGGATTTCGTCGGAGGCTAGTTCTTGAGGGTTATTGTTCTTTCTAAAGCTAAAGAGGTCAGTATATCGCAACATTTTATTTACTATCCTTAAACTCAAATTTCAAAATTGTGTAATGTGCGTAGACGAAACAGAAGCATCCGTAAAATTTAGTAAATCTGAAAATACTACTTTTTATTAGCAAGTAACATAAAGTCTAAGAAGAAATAAAAGGAAGAGCGTGTTGAGCAAAGATGAATTTAGTGGGATTTAATTTAATGGAATTGGTTTTCCAATATCTTCTTTAAAAACGATATAGTGGCTTTTACTTATCTCTATCAATCAAATACGCTGCCCAAACGAGCAGTGGTGCTGACCTAACTAAGCATAATGTCAGTAAACATAAATGAAGGCAGAAAGGTCATTTGCTAGTCTCGAATATCAGATCAGCCGGCAACACGGAACAGGTAAAGCTAATCCCAAACGGAACGGTGCATTTATATCAAACAAATATTCAGAATAAACCTAGATGGTGTCCTAGTAATGCAATAATCACTGAAATGAATATCATCTAATGCTTCCATCATGAGTTTCTGATGCCAAGAAACATACTGAAATGGCTACGTATTTGGCTTTAGACATTACTATAAAATGAATCAATGTAAGAAAGTAAAACATTCACCACATCATATGAATTGATTAACGTGACACAAGTTTCTATTATATCTTTTGGATGGTTATACGAATAGCTAAAAAATATGTGGTCAAAATGAATATTATTGTTCACCTGCAAAACGTTTACGGAAAGGTTTTGACACGCATAATTCATCACTACAATTTAACGATTGCCCACCTTCATGAAGCTCCAGAGTTAAATTCATTTCAGCAACTTCATGATTAATTTGAAGGTTAATGTCCTCTCCCCGTCCCTCACCCTTGTGCAGACACACAGACACATCAGTTCCAGTGGGTTCATAAAAGAATTTTTGGAATTTAATGTAGTTTTCATATTTTGTCACATTCAGCTGGATACATAGGATTGTTATTAGAAGAACCAAACTGAATTTCTGCATTCGTGAATCTGCAGTTGTTAGCCCTCATTCTATTTGTTACCCACGAATGACCTCAAAGGTCGAACTAACAACTTCTGAGATAACCATTTACATAGCTTTACCCTATGAAAACCACTCTTCCCAGTCAGAATACTGAAAAGTAACTGGTTATTTCAGTAGGTGTTAAGCTGGTTTTTAAATTCACTCGTTAGCCACTGGTTTTGATTTCAAGCATCAACCATTTTCAGTCTATATATAGAACGTCTCTAAACGTTTCCCTTCACTTCTTTGAATTACTCTAGAGCAAACCACATAAGCCATTCTTATGGTATGGTATGGTAGTTAAACCATACTATCTTTGTCTTATCAACATCAAAGTTAGTCCTAAACTTTACATGAGTCATTTATCTTACTTACTTAAGTAATAGTTTTCACTTCCTAGAATTATCCACAGCGGTAACCCAACTGAAGTGAACGAGTGGAAGTGACTGACAGAATAATACAAGATATGAGAACATTACTAACACAATGAAATATTTGGACTGGATAAGAATGACCACTGTTCTCCCTGAGAATCTGATACTTCACTGAGCCTCGAAAATCAGAAGACAAAAACCGTAAGGAAGATACTTTATTTGCAAAATTAACATCATTGATATACCGTTTTTATTCAGAAAATAAAGCCATTAGGTCAGAAGTTGGTTAATTATTTTTATTGGTCATATGAAAGATAAATTTATCCAATAAGGTTTCCTTTTTCCATTTAATAACATTAAACAAGGTTGAAATCCAAAACTTCTGCCTTAGTGGTTGATGACATATAATGCTGATTTCTACTTAGGTCATTTCATATCATCAAGTGTGTAAGCCCTGAGTAAATTTAACTTAGACTATTAATTCCTATCAAGCTAATTTTTTTTTCATTTGAACACTTTCACTTATTGCCTTACTTCAGTTGGCTAACTCCTTCTCAGTCGTCTAGGTACGTAAATCCCTTTCATCTGAAGAGAATGTGATGAGACAACAACAAAATGTGTTTTTCCTACTTCACTGATATTCTGCTATCTCATTTCGTATAATATGGTACTCTTGGATGGACAGATATCAAGTTCAGTGTTCCTGGTATTTACTTGATCTATAACATAGAGTAATTAATTTTGGTGTCACAGAATTCTAATACTTGTACTATGCTATGTATTTTTATTTCACTTGCATTTTTACAAATTTTAGCACTACCATTCACCGCTTGTGAATACTTTTACACAGAATAACAATAACTGAAACTGTTAGTCGATGAGTCTTCATCGTGATAACCGTCTCCGTTGGGTAACCAGTTTTTAACTCTCCAGAAAGATTAACTACTTAAAGATAGATGTATACATACGTATCTGCTAAATATGAATATTACTGTGTACTGAAGTGCAGAAGTTTCACCACTATAACAATCATACTTTACAATAAAACAAATAGGTCCTGGGTTTAATCCCTGGCAAGTGTGAAGTTGTGGAGACGAATATCAATATAAGTGTCTAGCAATTAGGCTGAAGAAAAAAAGAGTGTTCATACACCTAAAATTCAAGGGAGAGTAAAAAACGACGAAGTTTAATGAAAATTTTAAAGCTGCACCCAAGAACATATTTCCTGAGACCAAATTATTCTCAATGTATAACATTAAGTACTCTTAATTTGATAACGTCCTTACACGGGTGCTTACTAATGAGTAATTTTGAAAAATTTTACATTTTACCCATGTTTAAGATTTAATTTGTTAATTATGTAATAATTTTGAACAGGCTTCTTCAACCGAATCAGAATTATCTCTTTTCTATAAATCGACCGTATAGTTATAAAATCTGTTACCAATTCATCTTTGAAGTCATTATTAATTGCATAAATAAAAAAAAACAACAAAAACAAATGAAAATGAAATAGAAGTTATTTAGATGTGGTAATTTAATTTACATAATATGAAAAGAGATATTTCATATGTAAAGTTGACAGAATTCGATAGGAATTGTTGTTCACTAACACATGCTTACATACATAAGTATATATGCATCCATACTGAAAGGTGTTAAACTGATAAAACTAGAGAAAATAAAAAGATGAATTCATTGTCTGATGAATGAGATGAATATAATATAAATATGTTCAATGGAATCAAGTTACGCTTAATTTTTTGAACTAGTTTTATTAATGTAAAAACAGACACCAAATAAAATTGTAAGAAGCATTTGATGAGTTGGATAATTTGTTTGACTCTTATTACAGAAATTCCGACTGCAGCATGCATAAGTATATTGTCTATATCTAGCTGACCATGTATCAGCATTACACGTTTGCACACAATCTCTTATTGGAGTTGGCATTCCTCTGACTTCAACTTTCTATTTTGAATAGAATGAGGAAAAAACGATTAGTTTTGAGACAAAGTATCTACAGAAACTACAAAAACTCAATGTTTATTCACTGAACTCTTATAATCATATATCTTTAATAAAAGAAAATTTTGTGTAAATAACAATTTTAAAATGTTGCATATTTAGTAATCATTAGTATGCTAATGAAATTTAATTTAACTGTGTAAACTGTATCGGAGTAACTTAGAGTTTGTCAACTGTTGTCTTTTTTTTATATACCATCCTGAACACTTGAATATAGTTTTAATCACTAGTTAATAATAGTGAGATACTGATCTAAAATGAAAGAAGATTGGCTAGCCTCTTCACCTTATTCCAGGAATTCTTATCCAGCATACACCAACCAATCACAACAGCCAAAGTCCGTTGGAAGAAAATACACTAAATTTTGAACCAACTCAAGCTCGAAATTCAGTTATTGTCCATTGGTCATCAGTGACATCCTTCGAGATCAGATTTTTCGAAGTTCTAATCACAAATCATAACCAATGAGGTAAGCCAAGTCGGAGGAGAGGAAAAATCCTCGGCTACGACATTGGATGAAGGTCATAATATATCGCCAATTCACACAAGGGAGTGGGAAACTGCGAACTACTGGAATCCGATCTGGTGACTCTATGGTAAAGTCCCCATCGTTAAACTTGAGGGTCCTGGGTTTTTTCTCTGACGCACTGCTGAGGAGTCCTGTACTAGGACGATGTAGCTGCCCAGCACCTTCAGGTCTTCAAGGGTTTTCCAACTGATGTCAGTCCATGGTGTAGATCAACTTGATAACTTAACCCACATCTGGTACCCCGAAGATTGTCATTACATTTTAATGGAAGAGACTGTTACAACAGGAAATAGATACCACTTTTAGGTTCAAGAATATAAATAGATCGAGTTGTCCATTGGTATCGCTTAGTGTTACTGACGATTGGTACCAGACGAATCATTTATAGATAACTAAACACAACTGTTCAAAACCTGCTGATTCACTTTAACTTATGATTTAAGTACTTGACAAAAAATTGATTTATTCATTCTAGCTTAAAGATTATATATTTAAACAAGAGAATAAGAAGTGAGCATTCAACCTTTTATCTGTAATAAGAAAAACTTACCGCACACCAACCACAACCAGTTCTATTTGTGATTAGATAGGATGAAGGAATAAATGGAGACGGACACGGATTGCACGTGAAACAGTTCAGCGAAATAGCTGCAACAGATAAAGAAGAGATTTGAAATTAACAACAGGGAAAACGAATCAATAATTCTCTAAATTTATGAACAGATTCCCTTTCGTACGTATCAATGACTTTAAAAATAGTATAAGAAGGCAAAACCTTTTTAAAAGGACATGTGAACGAATTTTTCAATATTGACCAAATACTATCAGGCATATTCGTTACAAAAACCACTGCATCAACTGCATCGGCTTGAACGAACAAACCATCTAGCGTTGGATTATTGAAGGCAGTTGACAGAATAATATCTGACCTAAGTTTTTAACTTACTCGAATTTATCAAAGAAGTGTATCCTGAATTAAATTCAAGGTTATGATGCCTCAGAGACTTAGAAAAGCATCACTTAGCCGGATACATTAATATTTTGAACTATCAGGATAGATATGTATATTTAACACAAATTTACCATAAGGTTTGCACCCCCTGAATTGGTTGAGATAGTTTATAAGGTTTTTTTGTTCCAAGATCGTTTACTGTGAGAATTGTTTTCAAGATATCCCTATGTGCGCATAGTTCAATAGCTTAAATCATTGTTATACAAAACAAATACCAAATGGGTAGTGAGTTTCTCAAAAGCATAACAACAATCATTTTAAAAAGTTAGGAGACTGGATGGATGTTCGAATAAGCTTAGAATAAACTAGAAATGAAAAAGAGTGAAAGGGAAATACGAAATGAGCAGTGACTAATTTTTACAGATATACTGAAAGACTATTCAATTAGGTAACTAGTCTCCAAAATATCCGCTTGATTAAGACAGTACTTGGGTTTATTCATCTCCATACGAATGAGGATCTGTTGTATACTCATAGTAGAAACAACAGTGAAGTAAAACTGTTGATCAAAACACTGCTATAAATAAGATATCAGTCAATGTTCTTAGACTGATTCATAAGCCAAGCAACATTTATGTCTGTTCTACATTCCATACCAAATAGAAGTATTCATATAATAGTAAACCAATGAACATAGGGTAAAATCAAATGTTTAGATAAGTCATCAGTAAGGCGTGTTACGTAGCTAAACTTATCTCTGACAAGACTCCAAAATATGTGCTTCAGTACCGCATTCATTATTACGTAAATAATCGAGAAGACTTCAAAGTTATTCAATTTAAGGTGATAGAACCTATATATCAATTGCTTTGGAAAAACTAACGTTTCTCAATTTGCACTACAGACGAAGAGAATTTTATAAAAACCTCGCTTTCTAGCTCAGAGAATGCTTCTACTACCAAACCCATACACAGATATTCTCTATCACTATGTAGTGGAGCTATGGCTTAGTGGTTTGGGGATATGACTTACCAACCACTGGGTCATGGGTTCGCACCCCTCTCTACCACCCAAAGTTTGGGCAGCCAGATAGTATCACTAGCACTCAAACAATGGGTGTGGCTAATTGCTCATTGCACAGACGTGCACATGGTCCCTGAGTGAGTTTCGTCCTATCATTACATCTGGTTTCTGGATTTCGAGTAAACAATTGATAACTGTCACCATTTATAAGCAAAGATAAGAGAAACAAATCATATGACAAAGCTTAAAAATACTTTTAAACGAAGGTATAGAACCATCTTTTGTAAAAACCTAACACTCCCAATTCTCCATTCATAGTTTAGAAATTATATATGCAAAACTTGTGTGCTGATTATGGCTAGACTGTTTGTTGAATTCGCCAAAATCTTACTGATATTATTATGAGATGTGTTACTGAGCAATGAGGTTATTTTATAGTCGTCGTTTAGTGACTTCATTGAAACTAGCTCAAAAGTTCCCCTAGTACTCTACTTTTAGGTTTAGATATATAAGATAAAAAGATACGTATTTCACCAGAATGTACACTTAGTTTAAACAAAGTAACTGTCTATTTTAGTTAAACAGTTCAAAGTGATAGTTTATATCTCAAAAACTAGGTATTACCACTTACATCTGTCGATTTTCACTGTAATCAGTAGCATTGTAAGTAACATACATAGTTGACTCTTCATGGTACTTTGTACGAAAAAACTTGACAAAATCGTGTGATTGAGTATTTACCACCGAACTTAACTGCTGGTTAGCAGCAAAATTTAATGAATAGTACCTTAGAATGACCGTTTTCCATTCATTCGTCTGTGTTTATATCATTTCTGTTTGAGAAACTGGTTAGTCATTTCTACCTATGAATCTGTGAATAGACTCATTTGTTGACAAAATTTTCAGTCAGTTGACCATATATCTTGAAATTGAAAGGGGCTTACCCTTGAGAAGTCTCTTCTCTTGGAGTGTATAGTTAAAAGATATGTCATTAGGTTGGTTTAACATGATAACATTAGAATGTCCAACTTTCAGACAAAATAAATGACTAAGCTACATATTATTCATCCTTAGCCTTTTTTGGACATGGATTTTGGATAATATGTTACTGTTTGTTGGCAGATACAGAAAATAATGAGTCTCAAACTGAACTTTGATTGGTAGGTTGCAGTAGTCAGTTTTTTCATTTCCAAGTGGTATCTGCATCCAAAGTAGCTATCACTGGAGTGAGTATAATATCAGAACACAAGCAGCAACGAATGTATTATTTCTTCTAATAGGTCTTAAGACCTAGTAAGTAGTATACTAACCAAGTAAAATGATAACGCAGAACATGTTTGTAATTCGATGAAACTACTTAATGATAGAGAGAGGTGGAAATCGGTTATAATAAATGCGTATCCTTTTAGTAACTATTGGATAACTGATGTCGATCCTTCCTTTGTAGCGAAAATCGCAGTTTATTTAGTAACTGATAAAGACCCACTTTTCGGCTTTATGTATGTGGATCAGGCAGAGTAATTTTAGCAGTTTAACGCTAAATCTTTAGTGTTTTTCACTGTATTACACCTCAATATTCAATTGATGACGATAGATAAAAATTATTTTCATCACTGTCGATAAATTATAACAACTCTTACGACTTTATTGGTAACTAGACTAAGCATCAAAACTGAGCTTATCATCATTGAAGTGAATACTTATCACTTTGACGATCTGAGGTAGCCGTAGTTTGATAGACTAGTATTTACACTGGGTAATGATTGAAGATGAAGTGAAAATTTGAACTATGGTGGGATTTGAGCCAGTGACCACTGGGTTTCCGACTCAGTGCTCTGCCAACTCAGCTATGAGGTAGAGTGCAAGTCCGGAAACCCAATGGTCTATGGTTTGAATCCGGTCACGGTCGAAATTTTCACTGCACCTTCAATCACCACCTAGTATAAATACTAGTCTGCCAAACTACGGCTACCTCAGATAGTCAAAATGACAATCAATATGATGCCTAACACATAATGGTAAAAACAATTGATTGATAAAATAAATTGGCGATTTAAGCGTCAAAGATACAATTAGAAAATATTTTTGAGGAATGATGAATACCTTCGCAGTTCACCTATCAAATGGTCTTCCAATGGGACTAGTTAGCACAGAGGAGTCCACAATATCTGTTAAAATATAGGCGTAGATGATGAACTTCAAATTCTGTTGTTGTCTAGTAAATTCTGAATGAAAAGAACAAGGATAATCCTAATATTTTTGCACTGTTGACCGCTCTGAATACCGAAGAAATACATGCTTATGAATGTAGCTTGAAGTTTTAAGCATGAACTTTGATGGTACTAGAGGAAAATTTTCCTTTTAAGGATGCGGTAATTGCAGAAAAATTTAGGTTTATTTAACCAATAGACAGTTTGGTTATGATCAAGTAAGTAAGACTATATATCGAAGCTCTAATTATAAGTCACAACCTGTAGAGTCTGCCGACTTGAGTCAGAGGTAGGCCCACCAATAATATTGAATGATGAACACGTTATAGTGCGAGCTGATAAATGTTTGAAGTAGTGAAACATAAGTATTCAACCCAATGGCTGAATGTTAATGTACTTACTAGGAGAATCGGGTTGAACAGTCATGGATGTACGCTTCTGAGGAGACCCATACTATGACGAAACGGCTGTTCGATGCTCTGGACTTTCATTGATTCGCCAGATGACGCAAATTCCCGATAAAAGCTATTTCAGTGGAATTAATTAACAGCTAAAAACCACCATTTCAAAGTCGAATACGTTACACTTTTCCCAGGCCACAAATGGTGATGACAGTTTACGTGGTTTGATAGAAAACTACTAATTACACGTGACCATTGAATCGGTGACCTAGTTTTTGTGAGTTCTAAAACCATGTTAAAGTCAATGGATTTTAAGTGAGGTCACTTAGGTGAAATACAATTCCTTCGCAAAATAATTTTCGTTGTTCTAAAGGCCATTTCCTACTAAAGTAGATAAACTTTGAGCAGAACTAGAGTACTGTCAGTGCCGTTTTATCTTCTGCGTAAAGCCTTGAACAATATTTATTGCCAATAATCGCAACAAAAACACATAAGAGAGAGTGCTTTATTTGGAGAACCATAGGTTTAAAATATCATATTTTCGGATAGAACATTCAGATTTTCCATGGTTTTATTTCGCTGAGTCTACATAGTTTCGCCATTGACAGTGTTATGTGTTAAGGTTTACGTCACCCCTTATAATCTCATTATAAGTTTCGGTGAAAACATAACGGATCCAAGTTAATGCACCTGGAGTTGTATCACGGCAAACAACGACAGGTAGACAGATAATTGATAAGGTTGTTGGGAGGTGGTATGAGGTAATTATGTGTATCTACAAGTTCACATGCTCCTGTGGAGCTGACTATATTGGATGTTGTAAGCGGGCCCTCCGAAAACGTGTTGCTGAACACTACCCGGTTTGGCTTACCAGAGGCGAGCAAAGGAAAACGACTTCATTCATATGTGAACACCTTGTTGAATTGGGACATTCAGCACCTCGAGATTCATCCTTCAAAATAATTTACAAAGTTAAATTGAACTATTCCAAAGGTTTACATTTCCACCACTTATGCATAGTTGAAGCATTAGCTATACATGAACAGAAACCGAAACTTTGCATTCAAAAACGTTTTGTGAAACCACTTTCTCTACCTTGGCCTTAACAATCCATCTTGTTGATTTTGTCAGTTTCAGTCCACTTTGGTATACTTCTCTTCTATTATCACCATTATCACCATTTTTCACTTCATTGACAACATTTGACCCATAAATCACTTTTTAATATCAATCCATTCCTTGATCATTGACCTATTTTACACGTTTCAGCTTAATTATCACCGTTTTACAATTCTTTGACAGCACTTGTGGCTTATCTCACCACTTGTTATCAGTTCGTTCCTTTTTCAATGACGCATTTTCCATCTCTTCCACTTGAACAAATATCACTACCTACACCAACTGTATATTTTGCATACTGACTGAGAAACTTTTTAGTGCAATCATCTGTCACTTTACCGAGTACAAATACGACTGTACAGCTTGGTAATGAAGTCGTTGAAAAGAAATATTTCTTCGCTGATACATGCCTTGTTCTTGTTAATTAGGAGTTAAAAGTGAAATAAAGTCATTCAATGAGTCAACACTTTTGTCCAGTATTCCTTACTCTGCAATGGCTAGTTGACTTCTTCTTTTTCGAATTAATTAAAGCATACAGTTAGGGCTAAAAAGATAGGCTAAGGGCTTACTGCAACATATGAAAGCCATTGTTCTTATTTAGGTAGTATAGACTGTCATTATATACAGTTTTCAATGGAAACATTTATTATCAAGCAAAAAAGAGGGAGATTTGAGGACGGTGCATAAAAATTTTTTATTCACAAAACTCTCCCATGTTTGTATCCATGACACTTAATTATAAACAAGGAAATTACTACTATAAAATGAAGCATCACATAAATTGTATTCAGAAGAAATGGTATGGTAAGGATATGAAATTAGCGAGGATATTGGAAGATAACTGGAAATCGTTGCGGAGTTTTATTCTAACATTCATGCTGCAGCCTATTCTGTAGACATAGGCGCTACTAACCACTCAACAGATAGCTAAAAGTCTTTCAATCCTTTATAGGGGTTGTCCATAGTCAAGCTAATGTCGGTTCATAATAAACCGAAAGAACTGTTAATTCCTCTGAGGTAAAAAATAGATGAACATATGACCTTGAGCTCAAGTTTTGTTTCACAGACAGGAAAAACCAAAGTACAACCTCGCGTAAAAGTGTATCGGTTCAAGTTGTCACACTTCCCAGTATTATGAAGAGGATAAGTACATAAAAAAGACTTATACCATAGTAGAAAAGGTTGTGTGAGACAATAAACAATTTGAAGATAAAGATTAGCGCGAATATTCCAGTTTTAGGAAGCGTCAAAGAGTGAATACATTCGCACCACCGTGACCGATTTTCAGCCATGTTGCTCAGAGTTCTCAACCACTGATTCCTATCGTCTGGGAGACCCCAGCCAAATAGTCTACATCTCCCAACATGCCTCAGACTAACAGTTAGGTACTTCATGGCCAACTTTTGTATTATTTCGCCGAAATATTCAACATCTACTCAGTTTTATGGTAATAATGGATAATGACTGCCCGTGGGACCCAGTGTGTATATTTTGTCCTGTTTGGGACTCTTCTGCTGGATGTACTTGCCTCCCAGTGAGTGATGTTGTTCTTATTACGACTGGAACCCGGGACCAATTTCTTCAAATGCCAGAGTGCTACTCATCAGGTCGCCGAGTTACGAAAGCCACCCTGCGATGGGTTTAGTTTTGATGTTGTTGCTTGCAATTTCCCGTCCCTGACTCGAGCGAATTAATCAACCACTACTGGCATTTGGGTTCCTGAGCTAATTCTCAGATGATTTATGCTTAAGGGTTTCTTTGCAAGATTAGAAAGGCTGACCAAAATCCATCTTAACAAATAATTACAGACAAAGTAAAAGATATCAATAAAAATGAAAACCTGGTTCAAACTGTTCGTCTTTCTGCTTCGAATTTTTTTATCCACTATACTACTTAAAAGAACCATAAGTAGAGGAGTCACACCAACATTATCTATACAACTAAATGGCTTCGGGGATAAGT